TTTGTCCAGAAGTACACTGTGACAGACTGTATCAAAGGCTTTGCTGAAGTCCAAAAGGGTTACGTCTGCTGGCTTTCCTAGATCAGTTAGGTGGGTTACCCCATTGTGGAAGGAAATCCGTTAGACAAGCAGGACTTCTCCATCATGGTGCTGAAGGATTTAATTCACAAAACACACATAATCACACTCTTGGATCTCAGTCTTGCAAGGAAGGGTGACAGAGCCAAGCAGAGGGTGCAATTTTGGAGCTCTCACCCAGGGGATGTAAGGATGGTGCTTTGTCACCACCATGCTAATGTGGGGACCTTTCTCTCCACTACAGCTTGATCAGGCATCACCTTAAAAGAAAAGCAGAGTGTTTCTAGGTCTTCCAGACAACTGTCTTGGGAGCACAGGAAGTATCTCCATTCTACTGGAGGTGACCTAGACACTAAGGGCTCTGTGAGGAGACACTGATGGAATGAGGCTTCTTCAGCCTAGAGAAGAAACAGCTTCAGGGGAACTCAGCAGCAGCCCACCAGCACTTACTGCAGTGCTACCATGAAAACAGGCTTGTCACAGTGCCCCACAAGAAGGACAAAAGGCATGACTGAAAACATGACCTAAGACATGACATAGAGAGAAATTTGCTCGCTGATGACAACAGCCAAGCAGTGCAGCACATTGTCCAGAGAGGTTCTGTAGTCTCCGTCCTTTGGAGCATTTAAAGACCGACCCATGAAAGCCCCAGGCAGCCTGACCTGACCTCAGAGCTGCCCATTCTGTAAGCAGCAGGCTGTAATAGAGACCTCCAGTGGTCCCTTCCCACCTGAAGGTCTCACTAAGTCTACACTGAGTCATTCACACGCTGCCAGGCAGTGCTGCTGAAGGCAGGGAATGCATCCCGCCAGGAAAATGGGACAGCTACAACTTAAGAAAACAAAATAATTAGATATGTCTGCAGAAAGAGAGTCTGAAAATCTTTTAACTAGAATAATAATGCTAGTGTTTGACCTAATTGACATGAAAATTAATCTTGAGAGCTTTGGGGAGGATTTGATTTTTACAGGAAGCTTGAGCAGAACAGAGGGTCTTGCCCCTGTATCATGGGTGGTTAATTTAACTGAAGAACAGTCAGTTTTGCTGTTTAGGATAGAAGATTTGTGGTTTGAAGCCCACGTACTTGAAACAATTCTAACCTCAACTCTGTGAAAAGGAAGGAGTAAATATTGAGCACAATAGGAACCCCTATGCAAAGTACCTGTTTTGTTTCAGTACCTGTGAGTCCCTGAAGAAACTAACTCATAATCAGAACATACATAGTGTTGGAGTTATCAAAGGTGATGTGCTTCAGCTATGAACATTACTAGTAGTCAGAAAAGAGATGAGGCTGTAGGGCTGCAGCTGAAGTAGGTATGCCTTTTACTGGAAGAAAATAAAAGTTCAGGGAATACAAGAGAAAGCGAGGAAGGCCAAAATTGGACAGTAAAAATGCTGAAGTTACAAGTTCTCCAAATATAGGAAATCCCCCTCCATGTGCGGTGTTCCCAGCTCTGTGCACAAGTTCTTCTCCTGCCTCCTGGTCATGCAGATGCATGACCACTACTCTTCTTTCAGAGGGTCCACGCCTTGCTCTGTGATTACAGTGCTGCCTTCTGCTCTGACCATTCTACATACAGCCTCAGGCCTTGCTTATTTATTTCCTACCCTTCACTGCATACAGGGGTGACACTGTGAGAGCTTCTGCCCTTCCCTCTCCATGGCACCCATCTTCCTCCCACATTAAATTACATATTTTTGCAGCAGTGATGGCACTAGGCATGTTACCCTGCTGTGGCAGGAGAGCTAACAGGCTTGGGCTGAAGCTATTAAAGTGTCCAACAAATATCAAGTGCTGGATTCTTGTCAAGAGTTCTTAGCATCACACAGCATCTCACATGGTCAAAGTGTAATTTGCATTAACTTCAACTGCAGCTCTAAGAAGAGCAGAGCAACCCTAAATGGAAATGATACATACACTGTTTTAGCATTTGATGTTGGATATTAAGAAATGGGGGGAAGTTTAACATCAAACTAAGAAAAGCCCACCCACCCATTACCCAAAGCCAAGCTGCTGCAGGAGAGCTCAGCCATCTGCTGAGCTATTTCCCAGTGCCCCTTGCAGAGTGCAAAACAAGTGGCCATCATCTGCCAACAGTTTGGTTCAACCAATGTGCCCACCTTGGGCGCAAACTCTTAGTAGGCTGCAGTGTTTAGGGGTCACATCACTTTAGACTTGGCAGACTGCAGAGGCATCTCTAGGCTAGTTTATTAACTCTAAACAGCCAAGCAGACCTGTTGGGGCTCACAGTGTCTCTCCACACCATTAGGCATTGTTCAAGCTCCTTCCAGCTACTAAAACTAGCTGCAGCTGCTAGGACTGGTTGCCTCTTTTATTTTCACCTGAGCAGGGGCTTGATGCTGGCTTGTTCTCCTTAAACATTAACTCCACATCCAACAGTCTATGGTGTTGTTGTTTATACAATCCCTTCCCTTGCCTATTACTTAATGACAACCTCTGGGAGGAAAAAAACACCCTAAATCTCCCTGCACTACTCTGACTTTGGTAAGGATCCTTTGGCAATGAGTTCATAAAGAGAGCAGCAAACCACACAATAATGTGGAGATTGGACATGCAATTTCTGTTCTGTTACTTCATTGTATTTCAGTTTGGAAGAGCATTTTCCTTAAACATGAGATTTCTAAATAAAACAAGTTCATGAGATTTCTAAATAAAACAACAAAATGTATCACAGTTAATCCCAGCTGTGCTCCTAAGGTTATGGAATTAATACAAGGACTGGTAGCACCAGGACATTGCCACCTACGGGAAGGAGATGGTTGGGCAAGGTGTGACTGTCTTCCACAGGGCTGTTGGATCTGCTTGCTCAAAGCAACTAGACGATCCAGAGATTTGTTATCTCTGAGGTTTTGGAAGATTTTTTCTGGTTTTAAATCAACAAGACAACACAATAATATCCATCAGCATCTGCCTTCCTGCCCCTTCCTTACAGTTTCCCTCCTCTTTACTCTTCTGATGCTTTTCCCTGCTCTCAGCACTGAGCCTGGCCAGCTCTCTCCCAGGCTTCCAGTGTGCCAGGCTCAGCTGCCCATGCTGCCATTCTGCCAGAGCTCAGGTCCTGCTGCCTCATATCAAATGGCTTTTGGCATGTCTAAGTAGGACAGGCTTTATTAAGACAGAAAAAGGAATGACTGCTTCCTAAAACTACTTGAAATGCTAAAATAAGGAATACATTTTTGTACACTCCACACTGTTGCTTATTTAACCTGCAGTGTGTTTACAAAGTTGTCTGTTTCTGGAAGGACAGTGCTTGAAGGCTTAAATCAAGGCAGAGTGGATTGTTCTTTGGCGATTCCTGACCTGTTCCTTCAGACATTTGTAACACAAAAATGGCTCCTCTAACACATGAAAACGTTTTAATCTCTTTAACATCTTTAACAAAGCAGCAATATAATTTATTAATACAATTTATATTTAAAACTCTGTAATTTTATTATTATTGCTGAAGTTGGTTACCGCTGCTTCTTTGTCAGACTCGTTGATATTTTTGGCCAGGGCTTTAGCAGCCTGGGTCTCTGCTGAGGGGCTCTAGCATTATGGATGTGCTATTATTAAAGTTGCAACATTAGCACATGTAGAGGCAGCCATTTATCTCCAGTTTTGGTAGGAGGCTCCCAAATTCAGGGCCAATGTGGATGGTCAGGCCCTCAGGGTCTGGGTATGAACACCTTGGGATAGTGCGTTTTACTGGATAGCTGGACAGAAATTTCCTGGTTTTCTGCTGTGGGAGGATCAGAACTATCCCAAATAATGCCACAAAACCCTGTGTTTTTAAAACCCCGGAGACCAGGTAAGTCAAGAACTATGTTATCAAACTCTAGGAGACCCAAGGCTGAAAGAGACAAACGTGTCCAAGCTGTTTATCTGGAATGAACACTGAACTATTTCCTTGGCAACGTTTCACTTGATAGACTGACAAAGCTTCAACTCGAATGCCCAATTTTCAAGACACTTCTTTGCAGCCGGGTTAACGGAGGTTGGGCTGATTATTCATGAAGCCTGAGCCTCTCTGCAGACAATTTACAACTCCTGTCTCCTCCATGCCTTACTGGCTGAGGTACTTCACCAGGTGCAGTGAATGGTTTTTTGCAGGTCAGTTTCTGAGCAGCCAGAGCTCAGAAACTAGAAGGATTTATGTGGCTGATTGCCTGTCAATAGGCTTAGATGGAGAAATCCAGAGAAGGAACGCTATGGGAAGAAGTACATATATATATTCTCAAGTTCTTTCATCATCATATCATAAAATGCTGTCTCGTCCTGTTGCAAAAGTGGGGTCAGTTTAGTTGTTCTCTTGCACTGGGTGATTGGGAATTTGGACAGAATAATTTTATATTGCACTGTATAGCTTATGTGGTTTGTTACCCTTTCCCCCATCACATGGCCTTTCCCTCACCTGTCCCGGTACCACCTGGTGGTCTCTCCCCTGGGTTACCCCTCCCCTCGCCACTCCTCACTGGTGTCCTATTGGCTGTGGATCCCTCTCTCTCTCTGTCCCCATCCCAGGGAATAAAAGCTCCCTGCCGCCAGGGAACGCTCTCTTTCTGCCATGGGTTTGCCCGCCTGATGTGTCTTGGAATAAAGTACAACGTTTCCCACGTGGAGGAGAGCGCTTCTCTAATCTTTTACCTCCGTCTATGAATTATCGTGTGGGCAAGGGTCTGTAGCTAGCCGGAGTGGACCCCAACAGCCCAGGCAACACGATTCTCCAGGTGGCGCCCACGACAGCCCAGGAAGGGAGGATTCTTTGTGATAGATTTCTTAAACGAAAATAAAGCGTAAAAGCAGCAAGTATTTACTGATGAAGAAAAACAAGTGTTCTTATCGAAGCGGGATAGAAAAGGGTGCAGAGAGGGAAAAAGAGAGATGGAGAGGGAAACGGAAGGCAGGGACAGATGGTTACCGCCGTTCCCGGGGCGCTCCGGCGGCGTCAGCTCGGCGGGTGCTGGAGCTGAGGGCTCTGCGTGCCGCGGCTCGGAGCGATTTCCACGGAGCAGCAGGCGGTGTGTCCAACATCGGCGCAGAACGGGCTGCCGTGGCTGCGGGCGATGTCGCGGAGCAGCGCAGGTTGTCGCGGTCGGGGCAGGGTGCAGGCTCCGTCGGGAAGCACGGGAGCAGGGGGCTGTCACGGCGTCCGGCTGCCTCGGGAAGCGGCGAAGCACGGCGGGCACACGGATGCGGCGGCCAGGGAAGAAGCAGGACTGCGGCAAGAAAAAGGCGGAACGCCCATAAACCTCCAAGAAACCTAAGGAAAAACGGCACTCATCGTGTCGCGGTTAGCTGCTTTTATGTGCTAAGGCTTCTGCCATAGCCCAATTTCCCGGGTATCTTTTCCTAGGTATCTGGGCAAGGCAGCGTCGCTTGCAGTGCACTCAGGGGAAGCTTTCTCAGCCCTGCTTGGCTGTCAGGCGAAGGCTCCCCGGGACACGGCTCACAGCACGGATACAGCCCCTATAGCATTTTTTAAACCTCACGTATAACGTATGTTGATGCATAAATAAAAATCGAATTGGTCCCTCTCAGATGCACAAGGCTTGTGCTATACAGATGAAATACTGCAGGGCAGAGACTGTGTGCCTCTTAACTGCTTGTAGAGTCACACGTCCATCAGTATGGGCAGATTTCCCTTTGCAACTGAGTGCTCTGTTAAGACATGACTGTGTTTAAATTGAGAGGGAAGATGTATGTTAATGCCTTCACAAACAAATATGCATTTTTATTTTTATTTTTTTCATAATAAAGAACTGTTATTCCTACTACCATATCTTTGCCTGAGAGCCCCTTAATTTTCAAAATTTATAATAATTTGGAGGGAGGGAGTTTACATTTTCCATTTCAAGAGAGGCTCCTACCTTCCTTAGCAGACACCTGTCTTTTCAAACCAAGACAGGAGCAAACTGTGAGAAAAGTTTTCAGTGCAAAGCAGAGTTTGAATTTTTAGTCCATAAATTCTCATGGCTGATCAGTAGAGAAAGTCTTGTGTAACACATAAGGCTTGCTTGGTGTGTGCATTTCTTACTGACCTCTACTGTAACATTTGAAATTGCTTGCCATGCCTGAGATTGAAGAAGTTTATCATATTTCCCAGCCTTTTGCATGTACACATTACCTAGAAGCTGTTCTGTTTTCTAAATCAAATTCCATCCTAATCTAATTGCTAAAGAGGCTCTTCCTCTGCTGGATGAACTCCACAAACCCCGGCATGTTGTCAGTAATGACATCTGAGCTACACTCTGTTCTCTTGCTTACTCTGGGAAGCTTGTAGTACTCTTTTCACAGGCCACAAGACTTAAGACTAGATAGGAGTAAAATTAGAAATCAGGTAGATGGAAGCATAGCAACTCTGGTGGAGACTTCTCTCTCCATTATGGGGAAAGGATGTGTCTCTCTGTCTTCACAGCATCACTTTACTAAGTTCCCTGGTTGTTCTATGCATCTGATTTACAGCAAATTGTATCATGTCTAGACTTCTGAGAAAGGTAAAGTAAAAGCCAGTGGGGTAGCACAGGCACCTGAAATTCAAGTAACAACTAGTCTGAATCCAGTTTTCTCATCTGCCAAATAATTAGTGGCTGGCTCGACATAGTGGTTTCTCATGTAATTTCTCTAAGTAGGGGTTTGATATTTGGTATTCTTTCTCAAAATAACATTGCATTAGTCTTCCAGTGATGTGCCATTTTCAAGCCTTTGTCTTTGCAAGCCTCCAGACAGTGGTGCAGTGAAAGCTGGCTGGAGTCCTTCAGATCACTGCCGGTCCCACTTGTGGCTGGAGAGATTAAGGATTAAAAGCTGGTTGTGTTACTGTGCACATCACTGAGTTTAATATCAGGCATCTGCAAAGACATTGAGTAGCATATCAGTCTGTGAGTTTGCCCTCTATTACCTTAGGGGTCCCCTGAGATTTCTTATTTTTAAAAAATAACAGAGAAATAAGTGTATGGAAATATTATACCAACCCAAGTCAGTGTCTGGCACTTAAGAAATAATCATGCACATCCCACAGCCTTGGCTTAGAGCTCATATGGCAGACACGCTTTTGACACATGGTAATGGAAAAGTACTTGCCAGTCAGAATTCTTGCTTCATTTCCCTCTGTGGGGCCTTCTTCCTGGTAGGAAAAATCACACAAAAGTTTTAAAACCTCCTTTCTACTGCAGCTGTCTTATTTTCCTCAACTCTCATCTATTTAGCAGTGACTGCAGACACATGAATTTATCCTTCATTCTCTTTCAGTCCCACAGCCATGACTGAGGATCTAGAGAGAGAGAGAGAGTGTGTGTGTGTGTGTGTGTGTGTGTGTGTGTCAGAGAACATACCTGCTGATGGGATGGAGCCACTGACCTGCACTTCTAGGGTGCTACAATGCCAAAGATACATTTTTCAGAGGCAAACTTACCTACCCCTAATTCAACTCATCATGAGCCATTTCAAAAGCAGAGGGCTAAAAGAAGATGAATAAGGCATATACCTTATTTTTATTCCCAGCTTCCAGCTTTGTGGATGACCCTTTTTCTGCACAGCACCTGCCTGTTGCTCAGCCAAGGCCTGAGTTGCTTATAGGGCTGCAGCACAGCTCCAGGTGCAGTGTACTACAGTTTAATTCCAGCACTTCAGGAAAGAATTCCTGAAGAATTCAGAAGAATCCCCTGGTAAAAGAAAAAAGCCAAAGAGACTCTTGGACCTTGCCGTTTGTTTGTTTGTTTCTACAATGCCCTTGCCAATATTTATTTGACTATCTAAAAGTGAAGATTAATTTTCAGCACTGACTGAAGACTTTTAAAGCTAAAAGTCTGCTAGATCTGTCTGCTAGAAGGATCTCATTTCAGAAGCTGTGATGAATGAGAAGTTTTCCTGTAAAACCTTCGTTAGCATGTGTGTACTGCACAGAGCTGTGTGATTTTTTTATCACCTCATTCATCTATAACCCCCCTTCGCTTCTCAGAGGTTTTGATTTCTATTGTGTAGGCATCTTTGTCAGCCAGAGAGGAAGCCAAGCTGATAATAATGCTGGACTTACCTACTGTAAAAAGCGTGACTAAATTCAAATTAGAAACTTTGACACTTGTTAACAAGACGAGTTCCTGTCTGCTTGCAGTTTTGCAATCTGGTCTCTCTGAGGGATGTGCAGAGTTAATAGTAGCTTTCCATTAAATCATGATTCAGTAACTGGTACCAATTATAATTTCTGGGAACGATTTGTACTTCTGGGACCAGCCAATGAGAATGGAGAGGCAGACTGATGCTCCTTTGAAGGTGCCAACACATGTGATTGGCTCACAGCCCCAACAAACTCTCTCCTTGCACTGAATGTCCTGCTGTTTCTCAGAAGATATGTCACAATGCAGAGACCATGAGGCTATAGGTGCAGGGAGTTTTTCTCACCCTTGGCCTGTCACTGCATAGACCAGTTTTAAAAATAAACAAGGCAATGCACAGTTGTTTGAGAGGGCAGTGGAGAAAAAGAGAGAAGAGAGAGAAATAAGATTGCTCCTTCCTGAGGAGGAGCAATGTGTAAAGGCAAACTCACTCAAGATCTGATGGGGGGAGACAAAATCTTGTCTGACTAGATCATGGTGTGGAAATAATGGCTGTGTATGTGTATGGCCATGGAGTGGAGTGGGATGTAAGGAATCACATCTGTCAGATACTGCAGCAAGGAACAGAACGGTAACCTGATGTCAAACAGGACAAAGAACTGGCATAGTTAAAGTGTACATGTGTACAAACATCTGAATACTACTCTTTTAAGCTCTTATCTCTACCACGGAGGTTTTTAATTATCTGTCTCAGCTGAGAAGCAGAAGGGGATGCTTAGTAGTTGCATCTTCTATTGATATAAGTAATATCCCATGAGTGTGTGCATGAAAGATCCAAAACATCTATTCCTACAGAAAATCAATTTTTCATAATGCTATCCTTTTAAGGACAGCTAATGATAGACAAAATTTGTATATTCAGTTGTGCCACTACTTAATTTTAAGTTTCACATCATCCAAGTGTGCAGTCTTAAACTATTTATCTCTACATATTTCCCTCCCTTTTCACCGGTCTTCAAAAGGACCAGTCTTTACAGAAGGTAATTGGGCTTGCTAACAAAAGAGAAAGAAGGGCAAAGTTCAGTATAGTGCAAAACTCACTCTTAACCACATCCTTTCAATTAATTGATGTACAGGCTATTCAGATTTCAACAGAAAGAAAGTAATTTATTGCAGATATTTGTAGAGTCATGGCTAGCATTTAAAATGGTGCTGCAAGAATAAACTAAGAATCTCTAAGTTTCCTTTTAATCTTTGGTCTACAAAACCATGTTAAAATGAACAAGAAAGTCTGATGTGTACACAGGCACTGCCATATGGGGGTTCTAACTGCAGCTGTGAATCCTCGCAGTGCTTGGATGCAGCTGTGTTCACAGAGCCCATGTGAAGAGATAGATTTATTTGCTCCAGTCACCACCACCACCCCAGTAATGTGGAATTTTCATAGCTTAAACTCTCCATGCTGCTGTTGAAAACAGGCCTCAACAGCACCAATTTATTTGGCATCATACAGTAGTGGGAACTGCTTTTGCCCTCCCATTGCTCCCACTCTGAGGTAGCCAAGGTCTTTGAGCAAACTATCTCATACCAATACATATTGGGATTTTCCCTGCCAGTTTTTTCCTTCAATATTCCCGCCTTGTTTTGACGTTGTCGGGGCTGTCCTAACACTGTGCAAACCCACAGTTAATGTTAGGTCAGCTATGCCCTGCAACAGCCGAAAATTAAAGCCACTGCTGTGAAGCAGCTGTGCACACTACCTGCTAATACTGATGCTTCCAGATGCAGCTACCAGCATAGCACTGCATGTTTCATGTGTACACATCTAGTGCTGACAGAAGGGCTGCATTCTGAGCAGTTTGCACAGAGAGGCACGCAAAGAAAAGACATTAAAATAAGCCTTCTGCTTAGGGTGCCCCAATCTTGTTAGCAAGGACATCCACACATCGACCTGCACAGAGACAGTGCTCAAAATAACTCAAAATTGGGGTTAACTCTAATTAAAAATGTTGATGGAAAATCCTTTCTTCCTCTGAAATGCCAGGTTGGTGGTACCACTGGACCTGAGGGCAGACAAAATGCTCTATTGATGAAGGAGATCTTCTAGGCTGTGTTGTAAGAGCTGTAATAAGGGACGCAGGAGTCCAGGCAGCTCTTCCAAATGCAGTTTATTACATCCAAGATGTTAGAGCAGTCCAGGGTCGTGGGTGACAGAGCCTGTGCCCACAGCTGTCAGCTGCAGCTGCAGGCAGGCCTGGAGACCCTTAGCTTAGGTTACAAATGCATTATGTACTTTTCTTTGCTGAGCATCTTAATACAGTAGAACCAATCTATACCTTAACTTTTATCTACAGCCTATCATAACTACTGTAATTACCATATTCATGTTACTATTCTCCAGTCACTAAAAGTTAGTACATTACAGTTTAAGCTAGAAGTTGTTTTTCAGTTTTCCTGCAGTGGAAAATTCTGAGACCTTTTTTCTACTTGCAACAGCTGCTGACTTGTTTTCCTGTGCTATCTTTCTGCTTGGTAAAAACATCTTCTTGTTTGAGGTGGGTTTATCCTTTGTTCTAAGTCATAAAAACCCCCTTCTAACTAACATACCCTTTGCCTCCTTGGTTATCCAGCAAGACTGGCTCAGCAATTCTTTTCTTCTATATCAAAACTTGCTTCCATCTCTATTCCTTCCTCAGCTTCTACATTCAAAAATCTTTCTGCTAAGCATGCATATCTGTGAGACTTTCTTGTCAACCTTTCATCCTTCCCAATACTGTGTGACAGACCCTGAAGAGCCAGCTACAAGGCATTTCAGGCACTGCTTTCCATAACATTTTGCCCTGATTCAGGTCTACTTAACTACCATTGATGTCTACCTGTGCAGAAGTAAATAACTTCTAGTATTTCTGTTAAGCCTGAGCTTAACCCTCCTGCAAGCCTGAGCAAAGTCTTGAGTTTGACATGCTTCTCACTGACTGGAAAACTATCATTCTCCCTCTCTCCATACCTCATATGTGCTGTAGATGTGAAGATGTGGGATCCCATTCACATACCTACTTTGAAGATAAATTAATATCTGTAAAGAATTGATCTCCTCAGCCATGTAATTTGAAGTATTGCTAGAATATTAGAAGCTCACAGAAGCTTCTTCTTCTGCAGACCTACCAGAAGAGCACAGAAAGATGGCAGATGCCCACTGAGGGTGATCCAAATCTCTGTAAGCGTTCACATGCTGCCAGTTTTACCTTGGGGTCTACCCCAACCCCTTAGTTGACTGCTACCATGAACTCGCCCAAATGCTGCCCTAACACCTTCCCATTCTGAAAGCTTAGGGCCAGCCTTAGTAATTCTGCTGGGCCAACACATCAGGGAAAACTAGCAGTGTAATTCATCAAATGATCTGAGTCATTCTCCATGTATATCCTAAAAGGATTATGACCATCGCTTGCACCCACCTTTTCCAAAAGATTGCCTTCCATTGCTCAGGGGTGAAGTAATCTGTGCAGGTTTATATCATGCTCCTTACTTATGCCCAGCTCAGTATTAAGGTGGATCCCTTCCTCCAAAAAGCTCATAAAATTCCTAGCTCTTGTCTTTATTTCTGAAGTTCCAGTGCTAGACAGATGCATGACTACAGGAAAAGGCTATTTAATATACAAAAAGCAAGTCAACTGGCTTACCAAGGACCTTTTTAAATTATACTAGAACCTACATCTCCCTCAGTAATCAAGGCTCTGCTGGTAGTTTTAATTACAAACTGTCTTTATCATAGGTTAGTAACTAAGCTGTAGGCTCTCAGTCTATGGCAGCAGTCTTGGAGCATTTTGTTATTAAAGCATGTGCTATCCCTATGGGATTTGTTTTTGAAGATCAGAGATTGAAAATAATAGAAGAAACGATAAGAAAGATACACTCAGAAGGTTACTAGACTCATAAAATGAAAATCTGACTTGCTTATTTTCAATATTTTTTTCACCAACCAGTTACTGTGCATTTCAATGTTATTATCTGCTTCCCTAATGTCATAATGGTGCAACAGTAAAGTCAGGCTACAGAAAAAAAAAAGAAAAAAGAGCTAGTGGATAAGCTGTCACATGCTGCCATTCCTATTACGTCTTTTGAAAATTGTCCACACATTTATGAGGCAGACAGACTTTCAAACACCAAATTAAGGTGACCTGCCTTGCCCCCTGGCCTCACTCTTGCTTCCTGGCTGCTTTGTGCCTTCACTCACACAAGCCCTCACAGGCAGAGGACAGAAGCTGCACACCAGCACATGCAAGTTGTTGTGACCATTTCAGCAACCTGTTTTCCTAAAGTCTTTTGGGGTCACTGCTTTTCCATCCTAGGAGATTAGGCATGGAAGGTCACAAGGCATTTCTGCAGCCATACAGCCACACATACACACACACACACACAAGTGTACTTCTCTGCAGTAAGGATCAGGACTAAAGTATTTAAGGGCTCAACCTAAGAAGCTTTGTAGATTCCCTAAGTTATGGTGTGTCTAAGAGGGTGTATATTTTTCAACTCCTAGGAAGTGCCACAGCAATTACATGGGGAGGGTTTTATTCGAACTAGTGGGTTTAGTTTGTGCTAAATCTCAGTATTTGCCTGAAATATTTAACAGGAATAAAATTACCTATTTTACAGGAATAAAATTTTGCAATTTGAGTCAGTAAAAGCAGTGGCATCTAATTAGTTCCTGTCACCAGAGGGCATTGGAGGACAAGCTGATTTTCAGAAAGCACAAGCCCTGTCCCTTCAGTTGAACCAGTAAATATTAATGATGCCAGTGAACCTGAGACCTCCCTCTTGATGGTAAAAAGGAGCAACTCTGGCAGAAGCACGCAGGGAGTGGGGCTCTGGACTGGCCCCATGCAGAACTGCAGGCTGAGGAGCATCTCCTCACTTTTCCCCCTGCAGCTGTGCATCTGAGGACAAGCTTGAGAACAAATCAGGAGCAGTGACTAAATGGTGCTTCAGAGATGGCCGTGCAGCAGTGTCAACACTTGGCAATCAGCCTCTTGGGCCCCATGTGGGTTATTTGGGAGAATGTGCAAGAGAGGCAAACAAAGTGTCTGGTGACCTTCCTCCTGGAAACAAGGAGCTGGGGAGCAGATTTGAACTATCACTCCATGGCTCCCCAGCCCAGGCCAGCCGGAACTCTCCTAGGCAGGTTCCTTCTATCTCCTTGTCTGATTAATTCAGTTCATTTCTATGTTAAGCATAGGCTCAGAGGTTTAGTGCAGGAAAGGATCTGCTTAGACTACCTCACCTGACTAAAGAGTAGTTCTTCAGGCTAGCAAGGAAATAAAACCTGAGCCTGGAAAGAGCAATGGGAAGTACCTACTTCTGTGCCAAAATGGGTATTTCAGTTAGCAGAAAGAGATGCTGTCCATGAGCATCAAACAAGGAGCCTGTCTGTGCATTATAAACACTTTTAAATGGGAAGGAGCAGGCCAAGTGGCCCTCTTCTTTTATCAATATATAATAATGATGCTAATTTAAAAACTACAACTGTGGCAAATTTATGCCCCATGTCAGAGCCCTGAGGGTTTGAGCTCGTTGGTTTCAATTAAAGAGTTGTACCTCTGTGTAGGAATCAAAGGCCTTTCAGACAAAGGCAGAGCTTCTTGTGCTTTTCAAGCAGGGTCAGCTCAACATCCTAATAATAATAATAATATTACAGGTTGTATCAGGTAATGGTTTACTTTGGTTTATAGTTGACTACCTTGTTTTTCCTTTAGATGTGTGTTTTTTTTAATTGCAATTTTTGCCTCACTTCATTCTTGAAATGTGCAACCACAGGCAAAAGAAAGAGGGAAAGCAATGGAGTGTATTAATTTATTTGCTGTCTTAAATTCAATGCCTTGCCAACTATAAAAAATACAATAATCAATGTATGGATTTTTCCAGTGCATCATATATTCAACAGCATGTCTGCAGTCCAAAAAGCTAACTTGTTCATTTCTGTTTAATAGGCAGGTGGTCTCAAAAAAAATAGTATTGAACATTGTCACATTGACATTGTTTTGGATAATGGGAAAGAAAAGGAATGGAATTAAACCTTTACAGAGAAGTTGTCTGTGAAGTTTAAAAGAAAGTGGATCTGACATGAATTCATGACTTGTGTTGATACCATGACATTTTGGTTGATAAACCAAAATTTATCCCATTATCTTTTCTATACAGATTACCTTATTCAAAGTTTATAATCTGGAAAGATACAATTTTTCATAAATACTATAGCCTTGATATTTTTATATAATTAATAGAACAAAATCAAAAATACAAAAATACAAAATATAAAATAGATTTAACAAATAAATATGTCTATTTTAATACCTGTTTTTTTAGCACTGATGTTAATACTTTCACTAGTGTGCTTTTAGCAGCAAAACTATTTCAAGAAAGCCCGATTTTTAATTTATTTTTAAACTAAATTTTTTGCATTTTAAAATCCATTAAAATATTTTTCTCCATTTAGAATTATTGGTTTAATTTCAAAATAGACAAATGTTTGTAATATTAATCTGTTTTGCCCATTAAAGAATTGCCCTCCCTGCTCCTTCAGGGAAATGTGGAATTTAAAGTGACAGGTAAAAAGTGGAAAGAAAGCTGTTTATTAAACAATAGAACCCAAACAATATTACACAATAAAACCTCTTGCTGCTCTGGAGAGATGCCAAACTCAGCCAGTCCCTTGGTGGCTGCAGCTCAGCTCACTCAGTCTCTGGTCAGTCCCTCGGGGCTGGAAACGCCGCGGCCCAGGCCCGGCCCGGCGGCCACAGGTGGAGCTGCTCTGGGTGCTCCTCTGGCTGTTCAGCCCAGAGCAGGCTTGAACAGGTCCAAGAAGAAGAAAAACCACAGCCCAGGGCACTTCTTTGCCTCAGCTAGCTAAAACTAACTAAAAACAAAAGAGAGCTCTGTCCTGCTGTCTGTCCATGCACAGACAACACAGTCCAGGAGCAGGAACATGTAGGAGTCAGAGCAGTCTGAAAACAAACTGCGTGCTTCTTCCCTCCTCTCTTCACTCTCTGGAAAAGAGTCTTAAAGATGTAAAACTTATTATTCAGTATAAACAGAACAAGACAACTGGGGATAAAAGCATCATATAGTCAATCCAGGACACCCAGTAACGTCCTTTTCCCTCCTGTAGCGCGCATGCCCCTTGGCGCAGTTGGCACAACAGGCAGCAGGGGTGCTGCTGGCTCCCGCTGGGGCAGAGGGGCTGCAGGGATCCCCGTGACTGCAGGGGGGCTCCAACGCCAGCCCTGCGCCTCCCCAGGGGTTTATGGCAGCCCCGGGAAGAGAGGGAAGGTGGGGGATTAGGTTTCCCTGGGCTCTCATGTGCACGGTGTGGTACCCTGGCCGTGGCCACCCTGGTGAGGTTCCAGTCCACCAGCAGCTGGGAGGTGGTCTCTCCAGAAAGAGAGGGAGAGAGGAGGTGTGGGCTCGGTCTTTTCCCCTGGAAGCACCCATGCTCATGGTGCCTCTCCCCCGGCGAGGGCGGGTGTTGCAGAGGGAGTCCCAGTCCACCCAGCTCACTGTAAGCAGTGGCCTGGCCAACAGGCACTGAGGGGAGACTTCACAGCAGCGCTGAGCCCTGGGCAGGAGAAGTCCAGCACCAAACCCCACAACCAATATCTCTACAAGCTGGGCAAAAACTGGACCTCCTCCAGCTAAGAAACTGCCAAAACCACTGCCTCCCCGTCCCCCCTCCCCCAAGACAATCTGAAGGGTATGCCAAAGTATTGTCTCTTAATCGATATCCATTTGCCGTTTCCATGACAACAAATGGGAAGAAAATTCCTTGAAGAAACCTAACCACCAACACTAGCAAATGCCAAAAAAATTAAATTTTAATTAAGAAGTAACATCACAACAATGGCCATAAGAAATTAAAAATGGACACATCTGCAAAATGATCTAAAATGCTTCTGTTTCCTTTTGAACATTCCTAAATATTGAAATGGTACAACTTGAAGTACATTCTGATATTCTCTATCTGTGGTCACACTGTGCTTATTTCAGGTTATGAGTATTTTATAACACTGCTTATTCAGTCATGCCCATGGATTATAATGCACCCATAGCTCTGTCCAAGAGGGCAACTAAGCACAATTTATATGTTGATGCACTTGAAAGTTAAGATAGTTAACAGGAAATGCTACTTCCCTACCTACATCTCCAGATTTTGTCAGGTAGGCATTCCCCCACCAATTTATTTATTGCTCTATTTATTTTCTCCAGTCATTTTTCTTTTGGCTTACCTAAGCAAGCCAAAAAGGAACAGTACCTATCAGAGAAAATCAACCAAAAAGTGAGCCTTGGTCCTTCTCTAGGGGAACAATGCGTTACAAATCTTTATGGGGTCTGTGACATATTTTCAGAGCAGCATGTAAATTTGCCATTGACAAACTTTCGATTCTTTCTTGCTTGGTCCTTTCTTTAAGACACATTGACAAAGTGTTGTCATGTCTGAAGTGTCATGGGCAAGGACCCCAATCTGAAAGCACCAATAAGCAGAGGAGAGCAAGGACAGGAGCACTTTACACATGATACTGATTGCACGGAGAAGAACCAGGCCACTGAGATCCAGGACTGTGAAATGTGTAAGACTGGTTAGGCATAGGCCTAACCAGAATGTCCCAGAAATGGGACATTCTATTTCATATTGCTACAACACATAATAATAATAATAATGCACTTTTCCACACGCATCCTCTTACTCCTCAGGAAAATAACTAATGGATTTTACAAGATGAGGGGCTTTTTTTCTGTCACAGGAGTGAGAAGGTGGAATGGAAGGAAATATGTTTGCTATGTACAGTAGGGAGAAGTGCTACACCCTCATCTTAGAGGCCCCAGATCTCACTGGAAGATACTCTGCTCTGTCTCTGAAGAAGATGAAATTCCGTTTCTTATGCTGAGAAACGGAACAAAAAGCATTACCTAAAAATAAATATCTCAAGTCAATGCCACCTATTTCTACATTCCCTGTTTCAGAGCTGGCTAAATTAACCATATCAAGAAACATTTGACTTGTTCAAAGAGTAATAAGGCCCTTCTGCAACTGGAATGGCTTTTACCCTAAAATCTGATAATTTATCAGCAGTTTTCTGTACTCTGCAATATCATTTCTCTCTGATTTGAGATAGGCAAATTAGTCAGCACAATATGTTAGCTGATTCAGACAGGGACCAAGGTGAGGACAGGGAAATTGCACTCCTTTGTTTCCTGGTTTAATTCTTGTGAGCATCCATGTGAGACTTACTGCTTATGAGTTGAACTGATACTGCTCCAATTCTGTTTCCACCAGAAAACACAGAGGGATTTTCAAGATAAAGAAGACTGAAAACTAGGCCTGGCCAGGCTATGCTCATTCAAGGATTTCAAAGCACTCTTCAAATCACTTTCCAGAGTTTCACAAAACTCCTGATTGCAAGCTATGGAACCCAGCCAGCCTCCAGCATGTCCACAGCCACTCCTGAGTAGGTAGAACTGGGAAACTCTCTCAGATCTCTGGCTCTGGAGCAGTCTGTGCTTAGAAAGACAGGGTGCAAGGTAAAAGAAACAAAAACCCATAAAGAATGTACTTTTCTCCTGGTCGGTGTAGATTCAGGAAAGAAATGGCTGACAGTGGGTCTTTACTGCAGATCACTTCTGTTCTGGTTTGATTTCAGAGAACTCCCTCCTAAACAACCAACCTGCCTAGGCTAAGTGTGTCTGATTTGGAGCTTGTTTTCTTTGTCTGAGGAGCAGCAGGTCCACAATCTCCTCTTCCTTCTCTACTAGTGCAATCTCACAGAAATGCAAGATGCCCCTTTCTTGCAGGTATGTAGTGCCTCAGAACTGAGCCTTCATTTCTCTAAACAACTTAATTTCAAGGTCTTTCAAAGGTCTTAATTCCAAAAAGCCATTTCAAAAAGGCTGTCCTTAATAAGGCTGCTTGTAGGAAGACTAGATCTTTAAATGGATTCAGGATCACCACCTAACTGCTTTTAGGCTGACATTTGCAGTTGTCTCTACTCAGTATGAAGATAAGTGGGTGGATGTAGTGCAGGCAATATGCCACAGAGCTGTGGTCAGAAAGCATCTGTGCATGCAATTCCAATTGTTTATAAATATACAAACAATAATTAAATATACTGTCTAAGTAGTATAGTTACAAACTATGTGTGACAGACCGTCACTTGCTGAACAAAACCACACATCTCGCTTGCCAGCCAGGCATCCTGAGCTCCCAAAGTGGTAATTTCGTAGAATAAAGGAGAGGCTTCTCTGGAAATTCCGAGAGTTCCCGTGGCAGAAGGCCACACCAGTAGTTCTGGCATACCCCAGCAGAGGGCAATGGCAGATGTACATTTGAGTCTGGCATGCAAAGCACCCCTACAGTAGAAAACGAAATTTTTCCTTTGCCTACCAGATCTTGTCACAAGCTCTGTGCTAACAAAGGGGATAAATCCTATCCAGAGCGGAATCAAGGCCCAGTAGAAGACCTGGCAGCATGTAATTAGCCAGCAACATGCATGAAGCTCTCCAGATCTGTCCTGAGTGACTGCAGTTTGTTAAGTAAAGAAAGGGCTCGGCAGCATTTTCACTGCAAGATCAGAAAACACATGTGGTCTGGCTTTCTTACTGTGCTCGTTTGGAGAAAAGGGATAAGTGAAGCTGTGTGTCTTCTTTGGTGCACCCACAAATGCAAACCAGAAAGACTGAGCTGGAAGTGGTGAATGTGGAGGAAGAAATGGCAAACAGGAAAAACCCTGGCAGCTTTATCTCAGTTCATGGGAGTGTTTTTGTTCTGAAATCTAAGTGTTAGACCTAAGGTCCTCCTGAAGGTGACAGAAAGTGATTCAGAGCAGACTTTTTTAGGTATATGTGCACCTAAACATAAGAACCACAATTTGAGGTAGTTAAGGCTGACTCACACTGGATTTTTTTACTTCTGAATGTAAAACCTTGTATGTCTCAATTTGGGGCTGAAAAATAGAAGCACTCAGAACCAGGAACCACTTTAAAAAACCACCAATAAAACTGTATGTCATATACAGTGAAATGCAGTGACCATCCATTAATTATGTAGGCATGGTACAGAAGCATAAAATGATATCTGTTTTGACCAAGGAAGGAAGTGAAGAAATGTTTACACATCCTTTCACGACAATAACCATAAATAACAAGTAAACAGCGACAGGAACAACTGCTCCAGTAATACTGCTGTCATTTGTTGTGCCTGCATCAGCAGACACTGTGAGGAAAAATCATGTTGGAGGAGAGAGAAATAGGTTGCCAAGCAACATGAGACCCCATCCAGGCCACCCCCTCCCCTGCTCAGGAGCAGACAAAGCTTCCTGATACAAGTGCTCTGAAAGCTGAGCTGTCATCTGTCAGGGGAAGGTGGACAAGTTGTGGGGTGAGGGAGCAGGAAAAGGGAAGAGGGCAGAGCTTTCAGCTGGCAAGGTGAGGCTGTAGAGACCAAGGGAAGAAATGGCAGTTGTGCCAAGGTGGGGATGAGATAAAGAAAAGAGCCGAGGACAGACAGGATGGACAGAAGCCAATTCAGGATGAAGTGGTCAACCTGGGAATATGGCTGCTTCAGAAGCACTTGGATAAACCCTGCTCCAGTGTGGAAGAGTTGAACCAGAGTGGAGTTTTCCTGGCTGGAGAGAGAGATGGAGGAGCATGGTAGAAAGACTCTGGAGAGGTTTTATTCTTTTTAAAACATGTCCATGTAAATATGGCAATCACAACATCAGCTGCTTGGGTTATTTTTCTCAAGGGAGCTGACATCCAGGCCCTGCATGCTCTGCAACCTTCCTGATAGGAGCATGAGAGTACAGGACTGAACATCATGAACCAATTCTTTCCTGACTTATATACAGTATTGATGGAGATGACACAAGGCTGCAGAAGGTGCAGTTCAGGGAAGAATCCAAACCTCTGTCTACTACTCAGAATCCTTCTGAATCTGCTCTGCTGCTCCCATCATGCATGCATTTCCAGAGGATGGGGATGACAAATGAGATCAGTTGTAGTAACACTGCCACAAAACAGGGACTCTGGACAGCCAGACCTTAAACTGAACTGGATAAAATTTGTCCTTCCTCTGAAACCCCACACAAAGACACCAGACATAGATTATAAATGGTATTTAGGAGGCAGAAAGAGGGAACAATTGAATGAATAAGCATATTTTCTTCCTCTTTCACTTGTCTTATAGTTCTGATAAATTTAAAGCTGAGTATGATCTAGTGCCACACAGGCCCATGTTCTTTGTAATATATTGTTGAAAAGCAAAGTAAATTAATAAACTGCAGAGCCCACTACTGTTACTGCTGTAGCTAAACTGATTTTGATACATGAGCCAGCCTCATACATTGTAATGCATTGATTTACCCTATAAACATTTCCAGTGAAATATATGAGAGTTCAGGTATGTTTTCCCTTCCACCCAGAGGAGCCTCTCTGTTTTTCAGAGCCTGTCTTCTATGAGGTGTTCAAGAATAAAAGATGCTGCATTGCCACTTGTGACTGATCTTCAAGAAGTTGTACCCCAGCACAGGCTGAGCATTGCCCTTTGCAAAGCTCTTTTCAGCTCTTCCAGAGTCAAAAACTGAACAGCTTTGGCAGTGCAATTCCATTAAAAGTGCTTATTTGATCAGTCTGGTTTCATACTTAAAATGCTTTTGGTCTCACTACCCCAGCCATCTTCTCTCTCATGACAGCAGTTCTGGTCAACAGCAGCTTCTCCTGAGAGAGGAGCCAGCCTCTTTGGCATGGTCACCAAGAGGCAATAAATACCACCCTTTCCAAACAGGACAGACTTACATTTGGTCAGACACCACCAGTGTCTCTCAATTACATGACATTTCACTGCTCAGAACCTCTGTTCCTGCCTTATGTTAATCTTTGCTGGATTTTGCATGACATTTGGTCAGACACCACCAGTGTCTCTCAATTACATGACATTTCACTGCTCAGAACCTCTGTTCCTGGCTCCTTTTATGTCAATCTTTGCTGGATTTTGCACATCCATCGCCATCTTGAAATTTGCATCTTCTGAATAAAGTCAGAAAAAAATACATCTTCAATGTCATCTGGCCTTAAATTGTTTAGCCCTTGTGGTTTTAACTTTTCAAATGACCAGCTCTGTTAGAGTTTTTCTTCACATTTATCTATCAGTAAGGTGACAATACTTCGAACACTTCTGTTCCAGCTCCTAAAAACCACAGAGATTATGTGGTCAGAAGGTCAATTCATATTACACCAAGAACTGCAATTAAAAGGCTTAAATCAGCAATTAAAGAATTACTAAGTACATACATCAAACTTCTGTTATTACAGTATATCTACTCTTCCAATCTTTAGAAATAACAATATTAACACCCAAGAAATTAAAATCTGGCAAGGTAAAATAACGCCTTTAAAGTCTTTTTTACATTAGCCCTTAAAATTAGCAAGTTTGATGAAAGGCAATGAAATATCTCACTTTAACATCAGCTGTAGGAAGTCAAAATAAACATTATACTGGTTTTGTTCTAGTGGTCTTATGGGATCGTAAAGGCTAATTGCATTAAGCTTTCTGTTAGTTAGGTGAAGAAAAATGTCCCTTAAAACTAGGCTGTAAGCCATAGGAAGTGTGTTCCAGGCAGTACGATGAGGGGAGGTATTCCTTTCTCTCTTTGTCAGTTGTTTTACCCTTTGAACTAGCCTGAACAGTTCCTTTCTGCGGGCTGACTGCTCGTGCCTTCTGTGCTGCCCATCAGAGCCTACGTCATGCATGTTCAGCAAAACCTGTAAGTCAAGTAGGGACAGCACAAAGCTCTGCTCCTCCCTCATGTGTCCCACACCAGCTGCTTCTGAGGGGCACTGCTGGTGATGGACACAGACCCTTTACAAAACAGAACAAAAAGGCTTTGCTCCCAAAGAGGCTGCAACTGAAATCTAAAGATAAAGGAACAGCTGAATCCACAGAGGCAAGAAAGGCTGGTTTTGTTCTTTCCATGCTTTCAAACAGGCAAGAAGTAGGCAGGGCTGAACTTTTTCAGGAACAAAACCTGGCCGTAATTTTGCACTCCTGTTTTGAGAAGCTAGTCTGTTTTATTTTCGGGGCAGGCCTTTGTTGCAATGCTGAAAAGTACTCCAAGTCTCCCACCTGTTGTTTTACCTTATTGCTCACTGAAGCGCTCTCTCCCATACACACATCCTGTTGGCACACAGGAACTGCTGGGAACATGGCTGGTAATTTAATTCTGGCTTGCAGCTGGCAGCTGTCTCTCTTCTTTCCACCTTCCAGCAATGTAAGAAAGAGCTGCGGGCTGCATGACTGGGTTTGGGGAGGTTTCCACTGGTTCTGAAGTATGGGAATTACTTTATGATAAACTGGTTGCTCTGCAACTTTAATTTCTGAGAAATCCTAAAATTTTTCTCACCAGAGCATTGTTTACTCTCTCTGTAGTCTGAGAGGGAGTTGGGTCAGTGGGACAGATTACTTTTCCCTGTTGGATAAACTGATTTGTTTTCAATTCTCTTTTGTTTGTTGACTTCTTGGAACCATACTATTATCAGAGCTTCTAACTGGCTGTAAAGTTACCCCAAAGCCATTTTGTGTCTTGATTTGAATAATATTTAGGCACCTACACAATGAAAACCTCAAAAATGAGACTAAATCTGTGAAATCAAATACACCAGTACTGGACTGAAAGTGCTGTAAAAAATATTTCCAGTGAAAAAGACACATACTCAGTATCTGAAATGAAATAAGAAAGGAAATCTTTACATCAGGCAACAAAATCATCAGATATTACATCCTATGTTCTCATCATTACATTTCTTTAAGAAGTAAATTGACTTATTTTATGCTCTGCTGATATGCCTCTGAGAATCAAGGAATGGGCTGCCCAGGGAAGTGGTGGGATCGCCATTCCTGGAAGCATTCAAAAGGCATGTGGATGTGGCTTAGTGGTGACCATGGCAGTGCTGGGTTAAGGGCTGTACTCAAGAATCTTGGAGGTCTTTTCCTACCTCAGTGGTTCTATTCCATGATTAGAAGGGGGCAAGTTCTGAGAAGCTATTTTTGCTATGCATCAATCAAAAACTGCAGTATAATTTTTACTGCTTGACATTATTTTCTTTTAAATATGTTGATTCATATAGTTGTGTTTACACCAGGGAACAAGACACATTTTGAAGGCATTTGTGCTATACTAGCATGAAATTTAGAGCAAGTTAAAAATAATTACTCTGCTTTTTTTCTGAAATAGTACTGACACCTTATCTAGCAAACCATCAGTGTGGCTTGATTATTTGTTTATTTGTTCTCAAAGCCTTAGCTACTGAAACAACATTTGTACCCAGCAGAAAGAAAAAGTTTGAGAATGTGACCCTTCCAGTTAAAAAAAACCAAACCAACACAACAGAAGGCAAATAAAAAGCACTGAAAATTTACATTCTCTTTTTCTGTCATCAGATCAGCACCAATATACCCTGTGATCTTAACGTTTCTATCTGGTGGTAATGCTTATCATCAACTTCTGAGAAAGTTCAGCTTGCCTGCCTTGATTTTTAACCTGAAAGTGTGAAGGATTTCACACAACCAGCCAAAACCCCAGACATTATTCAGAAAACTATCTTGAAAACTCAAGGAGTTCTGCAGATACTGACACAGTGAAGGGAGGTGAAAAATATGTTCTTTATGATGGACAGCCTACATTAGTTAATCTTAGTTAAAATCACAGAAAAGATGATATAACCTGGAGTTGCATTTACACTGGCAATCTGACTTCAAGCCCAAAGAGAAATTTGTGCAAGAATCTGACCAGCTGACCTGATATAAACTATCACAGCTTTCCATCATGGGTAACCCAGCACAGATTAGTTCATGGCAGTTCAGATGAATGTTGTGAAACCAGAACTGCAAGTGCATGTTATAACCAGTTCATGTAAAGGGAGCAGCCTAACCTGTGACCTTTTCCTGGGAACTAAATGCAACATGCAGAGCACTCAGTGGTCTGTTTGCTTTTCTGTTTATTCTTCTGAGCTTCCAGTCCTGAGTTAGAAAGGTGCTAATGGGCAATACCACCTCCCTGGAGCAGTGATGGAAATCAGGCTTCACTTAGCAGCCATCAGAAGTACAAGATTAAGTGTCTCAGAACCAGGAGTTATTCAAAGAATCAGGTCAGTTGAATATTAAGTTGTGCAAGAAATGCTCCAGGGTAGAAAGAAGGAACTGGTACAATGCAGGAACTGGTTTCCAGTCATGAATCTAGTTTTAGACAGTTGAGATTTGCTTGAGAGATTAGTGTTTTACAGACTGATGGGAAAACAAGAGAATCCAATGAAAGAGCAGAATTAATCCCAGTCATTGATACAGGAAAAAGCAGGGACACAGGAGTCCCACTACTCACCTAATCTGAAGGATGTCACTGAACTAGCCACCTTAAAATTATTTTTTAGTAATTCCAGGATCTAGGAAGACATTATTAAAAACTAATTGCTTTTGTTGAATGGTTTGTTTCTTTTCAGGTTGTTAGGCCAAGCCATGCAAATTAATATGCACTATCATACACTGTGATACAGGTAGCAGCTTCTCCACAGGCTTTTTAACATAAGAAATGTTAGAGAGTAATGTTCTTTGAAAGCCTCCTTTGTCCCATGTTTTCAGAGTAAAGGTATTGGCTCAGTAACCATAAATGCTACCTGAACATGAAAACAAAAAAAAAAGGCATACAAAGGCAAGTCAAGCATGCTTTATAACTACCTCAGTCATATTTCATTTAGCCTGTTAGAATTTAACAACTTGATACAGGGGGAAGAAAAGCTATGAAAATCTTTACTTACTCCTGCTGCACTGCTTTCTTGTTAAACCATCACAAAATGTAAATTTGGAATTACACTGCTACTTCCCATTCATCAGGGGGTGTAAGAGCTGTGATGAGAAATGCAGGACTCCAGGCTGCTCTTCCAAATGCAGTTTATTACATGCAAGACAGCAGTTACAGCAGTCCAGGGTTGTGGGTGACAGAGCCTGTGCCTAGAGCTGTCAGCTGCAGCTGCAGGCAGGCCTGGAGACCCTTAGCTTAGGTTACAAATGCATTCTATACTTTTCTTTGCTGAGCATCTTAATACAGTAGAACCAATCTATACCTTAACTTTTATCTACAGCCTATCATAACTACTGTAATTACCATATTCATGTTACTATTCTCCAGTCACTAAAAGTTAGTACATTACAGTTTAAGCTAGAAGTTGTTTTTCAGTTTTCCTGCAGTGGAAAATTCTGAGACCTTTTTTCTACTTGCAACAGCTGCTGACTTGTTTTCCTGTGCTATCTTTCTGCTTGGTAAAAACATCTTCTTGTTAGAGGTGGGTTTATCCTTTGCTCTAAGTCATAAAAACCCCTTCTAACTGACATACCCTTTGCCTCCTTGGTTATCCAGCAAGACTGGCTCAGCAGTTCCTTTCTTCTATATCAAAACTTGCTTCCATCTCTATTCCTTCCTCAGTTTCTACATTCAAACATATTTCTGCTAAGCTTACATATCTGTGAGACTTTCTTGTCAACCTTTCATCCTTCCCAACAGGGGGGAACCAAAAGGCAAGTCCTGTGCAGGTAACAAAACAAATGGTGATTATTCCTCTCCTGAGCAGTTTTCACGTACGTGGTTGGTACCTGTCTTGCTCTGCACACTTGTCTCACCTGTGGATGACCATGTGGGTAACCAGTCTCCCATGTCCCTCAAACTTGCTGCCCGAGCAGCAGCAAGGGCAAATGGCATTACAGCTGAGGCCAGGGTTATACCATGGCCTTGATGATTTGCTTTGGTTAATTGTACTGAACCAACAAAGAGGATTTGTCCCTACAGTGTCTTAATCTTCTTGTTTCGCACAATGAGTTTATTTTGTCCAGCATTCATTCAATGCTTAAAAAAAAACAACCCCAAAACAAAACCAAAACTGCTTTGGATGCAGTGAGCTGCCTTGGCTTACTTTAGTTCCTCAGTAGAAAACCTGGGTCCCAGACTGATTGTATGCCTTGAATGGCTCCGTGCCATCATAAAATGAGGATCACATTGCTGGTTCAAAGTGCCATTGCACTCAACACTACAGCTTACCTAACATTTTGACCAATCCCAAACCTGTGGGAGAGCAGGGGGTCTTCCTGGATAAAAATACAAAGAAGGGTCCTGTATATGGGCCTTATAGAGAGTAGCTGAGCCGCCCTGACTGTTCTCTGGAGGGAAAGGTTAAGGGGTCACTTGAGCATGGCTTGTGATTACTTATGTGGGGAGAAGACAGATGGGAAAATGTTTTTTGGGGTGTGTTGATTTTGGGAAGATTGTTTGCCTGTGGGAGGGATCCCACAGCACAGCGGAGAAAAAATTCCTCTCCCTGAGCAAATAGAAGCTCTTGAGTGATGAACTGGCCACAACCCCCATGCCTATCTCCCTGTGCTGTTGGTGGGAAGGAGGGAGGGGCTGGCGGGGAGAAAGCTGTTTTAAGGCTTATTTTGCTTCTCATTATCCTCCTCTGACTCTATCAATAATAAATTTACTTTATGCCTTTAAATTTGAACCCATTTTGCCTTTAGAGTGTTTTTCTGCCAATCCTTATCTCAGCTCATGAAACCTTTGTTAATTTTGTTCTTCCCTCTCTTCTGCCCAAATATATATGCAGGAGAGGGTAAGCAGATGACTCTCGTGGGTGGCTGACATTTGGCCAGTGTCAAACCACGACATTGGGGCAAAGGCAAACAAGGTCACTAGCCACAAGGCTGAGATATCAGAGATGCACAGGGCAGCATCACTAATATTTCTAGTGGTATTTTAGTGCCACTGGTCCCACAAGGGAATACAGAAGGTATTTCCTAGGCTCCCCCCTTAGACAAGTGTTTTTTGTGGGCTCAGTTGGGTGCCTGGTTTCTGGATCCAGGTAGATGAGGTACAAGGTGGGCAGTGACCTTCTCATACAGGGTGGCTATGACAAGGCCAGGAAAATAATAATATTAACTCCAGGTAATAATAATATTAACTCCAGGTACCCAGGGATCTTAAAAGGCAAACAGGGTGTTTCCCAATAGCTCTGCTGCATACAGCATATTGCTATGTATTCCCTTTTGTCCCTGTGACAGCCTCTGTTCAGCTTTCACAGGGAGACCTCTGCAATGAGGGCATCAGTAAAATGAGGTATGCATATGTATGTGAGATGTGTTCTTAGCATGCTGATCAGAAGTGTAGGGATTGGTTTGGGAGTTTTTGGTAAGTTTAGTCACTGTACACAGTAAATAATCTCTTCTTTTCATGGCACTATTCTAAAAAGTGCTTTTTACAAAACAGGAAAGTACTATCAGCTCCAGACAGTAGAGGAAAAACAGCATAAGTCTTCTAAGAGATAGCTCTCAGAGTCTCCAGCAGATCAGATGGAGAGCAAGGAACATGCTACAGCCTCCCCAGTTGCAACTCTCTCTGATCTTTCCAACAGACTGAATTTTGAGAGCCTAAGACAGATGGAAAAATCAAGTGCTGTAAGTTATGATTAAACAACTTTAAATAGGCAGCTATCAGATTTTTGTTTCCAAAGACTGTAATGCTGCCCAGTACTTCCAACCCTCATAGCTCTTAATGTCACTAAACAGAAATGACCATATGTCAGTCAAAGCAGTGGGGCAGTGACCCCCAGAAAATGCTAAGTTGGAAGGAATCCACAAGAATCAATTATTGAGTCCAACTCAAATGCCACTCTTGAAGTTTAAGTTTTAACTTCTGTAAAGAAAAACTAGTTTGCCTAATATTGGTCTTTCTCTGGAAAAAGCTGAAAAATAATGGCCTCCATTACAAAAATTAAATTAAAAAATTATGTGTTAGAGATGCAACTGAACCAAAAGAACTGTGTCATGTGTGAGCCCTTATTTTGGCTTGAAGGTCATTTTGCTTGGCTGGTGGGGAAATTAAGAATGAAGCACAAGGTCATGCCCCTGCTATCACTGGAGCTCCAGAATTTGACAGAGCATTTCACATGCACACTAAATCTAGAGATCATTAAGATGGTAGCAGTGAATAACAATTCAGTCCAGAAGATAAGCAAAAACTTTATCTTAAAAAGTCAACTTTTCTTTGCAACTTTTGCTAAAAGACCAACCAAACAAACAAACAAAAAAACCCCCCCAGATGGCTTTTCAAATGGTTCAGCTATTATTTTAATAATAATGGGGTAAGTTAGCTCATTTCAAAGTTGCTGCTCAAATTCTGATTAACTAGGTAATCAGATTACCCAAACTTAACTGGGGTCTGAGATCCAACAGATTGTAACCTAGGGCATTCAGGTGTTCTGGATCTAGCAAGCTGTGCTGTCAGTTCTTGGGCTGTGGGTAACATCACAGATGAAGATGAGCAAAGAAAACCTGTGTCTGCAGTGGGTAATGGTGGAATATCCTATCTAAGAAGACTATTTTCATAAAGAGCTTCAGTTTTTAGAGGACTTCAGTGATTAACTAATGATCCTCTGCAAAAGTACTTATATTTATTTCAAACAATCTCATATGCTGTAACTGTAGTTGTAGTGGATAACAATAATCAGACATACTATGCATTAGACAACTTGTTAGATAACATGATTCATTAGACACAGAAGTTTGCCTAATTCCTTAAAAAGAAATTAATTCAGAACACTGAGAAGAAATATACAAACAATATATTAATGGGAAAACTGATGTCCACAAATAAAGGTGTTATGGTCCTTGCCATAAGAAAATCTATGATGTGCTGTCTGTGTCTTCATAAAGGCAACTGGCCTCAGCAGAGTAATCCAAATTCCTCTGGCAGTCCAAGTAATGCTGGCACACAAAACTTGCATACCAGCAAGTGTGGAGATAAGTGATTAACATCATAAGTGATTAACATCATAAGTGATTAACTGGAATTCCTGGCTGTCTTTGATGTACAGCCACTTGATTGAGGATTATTTGTCCTATTTATTTCCATGTAGTTGGGATCCAGATCCTTGCCTAAGTTTAAATGCCAGGAAAATATTTTAAACAGCTTGTATCAGAGATTTCAAAAATGAGAAATTTTAGGAGTACCTAATGATGGCTTGACTGTATTTCCACTGGATATGACTTTAGCATTAACTTTAGTGGCAACAAAACAAGGCCAAAGATGACTCTCCTTGAAAATCCCACCCATAGTTCTTTTCCTTTTCAGACTAATGTTCTTTCAAATTTATTCTGCAGACAAAACTGTGTGGAGTTTTACCCAATATTCTTGACTGGCCTCTGGACTGCAGGATGTTTTTCAATCAAGGTAAATACTTTCTGCTTTTATAGTGGACAGACAAGTTTTAGATAACTTTTTAAAATGTTGGGATTATCAGGAATTAGCAAGTAATTGACTGTAGACATATTTTCCCCTACTTTTAATTAACACAGCCTTCCTAGAAGAACGCTCAGTGACACTGAAATCCCCATGGTGTTTCAGAGAGCCCCACCAGCTTTCTCTTCTCTCTCCAAACCAAGGAGCTCTCATAGAGTAAAACTTGTGACAGTTATTATTACTCCCAACTAATATTTTAGAAACATGAAGTCTGTGGGCTGGGGAAAGGATAACCAGCTCATGTCCATCACTCCTCTCTTTCCTAAACAACTTCTCCATTTTCTCTCTGCTCCAAACCAGTAATTTTTTGTTTGGGGCTTTCTTACAGTCCCATCTCCACTGTAAATCCACTGTAAATCCAAAGAAGCACCACTTAAGTCAACAAATTGGATATGAAATAATACACATGCTTGTGTACAGACACTTGAATCGGGGAAGATCACAGTTGCTAGCCAGCAACACAGGTGCTGTCACATGTAAGAAATGAAAGATTCTGATAACCTTCCCTTGAAGTAATGTTTCAGCTATGTCCCACAGGTATGTTTACAGGAGTTAATCCAGCACACAGCGAAAGCTGTCCTCTGTAATACACACACAGAGTTTAAAACCACAAAATTAACTAGCACTGCTTAGTCCTGGATAATACAACTCACCTCCATACCCTGCTATCAATCAAGTGGAGGTGACTTTATACTCTTCCCTCAGGGAGGTCAGAAAGCTAACTTCACTACAGCTTCCTTCCATGTCCTTGGATAAAAGCTGCTATACAAATGCAAAGCAGGTTATTAACAACATAAATAGGATTCTCTTCCCAAAACAAACACCCTCTCCTTAGCACAAGCTGCCATAATAATACAAAATGACAGAGCCGGGTCAAGCCACAGTGCTTCAAACCACTATCCTGTTTCTGGGATAATCACCAAACTGGGGGGAATTAAGATTCCTGTCAGTTCCTGAGATGTCCCTTTGAAGGAACGCTTTTGGATATTTTCAGGCAGTCCTACATCCACCCCTATCTGTAAACCCATATGGAGAGCCTCTTGCACTGACTGTGTAAGAATACATACATCTCTTTTGAATGATTCTTTCCCAAGGTAACTTCCCAAGTTATGGGTAGCTGTAAAAATTCCCAAAGCAATATAACTAAAAAACATAATTAGAGTGGTTAACTGTCTACAATCCTCATTTTTTAGTTTTCTGACTGTTTCCCCCACCATATTAATATTTTCTTTCTTTGAATTAGCTTTCTTTTAGGGTATTCTGTACATGTTTGCTTGCTACAAGTACTTCCATGGTTATGTCCAGTCTGTGAAAGGAAGGTAAGAAATTCCCAACTGGATGCAGGCTAACAGCTCCAGGCTGTGGTCTGAAGCTGGGCTGAGAGTCAAGGACTGGCAGTGAAAAGTGATTATAATTGAATGCAACATGTGTAAAGTGCCAGCATTGGGTCTGGAAGCCCTCAGGGAAGAGGGCCGGGTGTTACAGCAGAAGCCTAAGTCAGGATGTGCATGTGCTGCAGGCCAGGAGAGAGAAGAGTTTTGATGCTCACCTTGTGGACACGTGCTTTGTACTGAGCATAATTTACAACAACATCCACAGAGATCTGGAAACAGAAGCACAGCTTTGCACATCAGGACTGCTGTAGCATGGGAAGCTGCTCGTGCAAGGCTTGCACCATGCCTGCCTGTCTGCTATCTACATTTTCCCTCAGTTTGTCACATTAACACCTTTTTTCTAGCCAAACAAGTTGGACTAAAGGAAGCAACAAATCTGGCTTTGTAGACTGATGAAGCTTCACCAAGCAGGTAAGAGAACAGGGCTCCAGATAGGCGTACATTAATGAATGTCGAGTGCACAGCATCTCCTGATATGAATTCTGATTTGACAAACATTGGCAGTATGGTTTGTTCCATTTCACTGAAGGCACTGCACTGTCTTCTGTGTCCTGATCTAAGGCTCTCTTCCACCATCTATCATCAGTCACAAGAAGAAAATAGTGCAATGTCATAAAATTAAAAGATTTGCCATGTCTTCTAGAGGAAGATACAAAACAATACAAAACAATCAGACTCTTCTGTAGTGAATCATCCTGCAGCAGCATGAAGACTGTCCTACAGGGCTATTTTCCATGGCTTGTGTACTGATGTTCCCATTCTCCTTCACTACAGCTCCTCCAATCCTTTATGTTCTTTGGAAGAGCTGCTGCTGGGGAGAAGGGGGAAGCTTTTTTCCAGAGCAAATATGTGGAGAGAGTTTCATATCTCCCAGTAAGAAATGCAATAATTCAAATAGTGCAATGAACACCAGTTAGAAGACTTGCAACTGCAAGTTTGGGGAGCAGAAACACGTAAATAAATGAACAAACAGATCATAATGGACTTTTCTTTAATCAACAAATGAAAAAGTCCTTTGTTCATGAAATCTTGGCCATGCTTTACTTCAGTACTCTTAAACCAGTAGATTCAGCCTCTCAAGGACTGTGAAAGGAAGGTAAGAAATTCCCAACTGGATGCAGGCTAACAGCTCCAGGCTGTGGTCTGAAGCTGGGCTGAGAGTCAAGGACTGGCAGTGAAAAGTGATTATAATTGAATGCAACATGTGTAAAGTGCCAGCATTGGGTCTGGAAGCCCTCAGGGAAGAGGGCCGGGTGTTACAGCAGAAGCCTAAGTCAGGATGTGCATGTGCTGCAGGCCAGGAGAGAGAAGAGTTTTGATGCTCACCTTGTGGACACGTGCTTTGTACTGAGCATAATTTACAACAACATCCACAGAGATCTGGAAACAGAAGCACAGCTTTGCACATCAGGACTGCTGTAGCATGGGAAGCTGCTCGTGCAAGGCTTGCACCATGCCTGCCTGGCTGCTATCTACATTTTCCCTCAGTTTGTCACATTAACACCTTTTTTCTAGCCAAACAAGTTGGACTAAAGGAAGCAACAAATCTGGCTTTGTAGACTGATGAAGCTTCACCAAGCAGGTAAGAGAACAGGGCTCCAGATAGGCGTACATTAATGAATGTCGAGTGCACAGCATCTCCTGATATGAATTCTGATTTGACAAACATTGGCAGTATGGTTTGTTCCATTTCACTGAAGGCACTGCACTGTCTTCTGTGTCCTGATCTAAGGCTCTCTTCCACCATCTATCATCAGTCACAAGAAGAAAATAGTGCAATGTCATAAAATTAAAAGATTTGCCATGTCTTCTAGAGGAAGATACAAAACAATCAGACTCTTGTGTAGTGAATCATCCTGCAGCAGCATGAAGACTGTCCTACAGGGCTATTTTCCATGGCTTGTGTACTGATGTTCCCATTCTCCTTCACTACAGCTCCTCCAATCCTTTATGTTCTTTGGAAGAGCTGCTGCTGGGGAGAAGGGGGAAGCTTTTTTCCAGAGCAAATATGTGGAGAGAGTTTCATATCTCCCAGTAAGAAATGCAATAATTCAAATAGTGCAATGAACACCAGTTAGAAGACTTGCAACTGCTAAGGAAGTTTGGGGAGCAGAAACACGTAAATAAATGAACAAACAGATCATAATGGACTTTTCTTTAATCAACAAATGAAAAAGTCCTTTGTTCATGAAATCTTGGCCATGCTTTACTTCAGTACTCTTAAACCAGTAGATTCAGCCTCTCAAGGAACCTGTAGAAGAGTAGCTGGCTTTATTATTAGACAGAGTGTTAGACAGTTTCACACTTTGGTGAAACTAATTTTAAATCAAACAGAGGATGTTAAAAGCCAGCCTGGCAGCCCTGGGAAATGGTTTTGCTGCAAGGCCTGCTAGTTATAAAGACAAACCTGGTATGCATCCTCAAAGAAGGCCTAAGCTAAAGACTCTTTTCATGCTCTCTTGAAACTGAGAAAATACTTCACCATTTTCATCGAGACATGGCATGCCTAGAAAGGCTACTTATATCAAGTCTTTAGGCATCTAAATCTTAGGTGAGATTCTCAGACTCTTCCTTTCTTGTCCAGAAATCCATCTCTAAACCATAGTGATCACCAGTTGCAACAGGCTCATGGCCTGCAAGGCTTCCCTGGAGGCCAGAAATCTAAGATAGGAAATGCCAATGATGACTGGGCCTTAGAAGCCCCTCTCTTCCACCTTTGAACCTTTGCTTATCTCTCTGTAAGCCTGTAGGTCACTTTCCTCTGACCCTTAATATTGAACAATTTCCAAAACCCCTGTAAGGTACATAAACCCCTACTTCTGCCCAGTTCAGGAGAAGAGCTGTCACTGAGAACCTTTGCAGAAGACCCCAATAAAGACTTCCCTGCAGAACCTCACACAGCCTTCTCCTCTCTCTCCCGGCGTCTGCTGCGGCACCAGCAAGCTAAAGAGCTGAAATCACAAAGAGCTGATAATCACTAAGAGCTGAAATCACTTGAGCTTCCTAAGGTTGCCTGTGGCTGGGAGCTGCTTGGGAACTCGGACAGGCTGTGCTGAGCAGGACTGTACCCCAATAAAGACTTCCCTGCAGAACCTCACACAGCCTTCTCCTCTCTCTCCCGGCGTTTGCTGCGGCACCAGCAAGCTAAAGAGCTGAAATCACAAAGAGCTGATAATCACTAAGAGCTGAAATCACTTGAGCTTGCTAAGGTTGCCTGCGGCTGGGAGCTGCTTGGGAACTCAGAGAGGCTGTGCTGAGAACCACTGAGCTATCTGGACCAAGGCAGCCCACTGGGCATACCCCAGCTGGAAGCAGCCGTATTAACCAGCAGCAGATCTCCCAGCTCAGCAGAGGGTACCTGCCCAATAGATGTGGATGTAAGAGACACACACATCTCTCCCTCAGCTCCTTCAGGCTTGTTTCTCACACCTACACCTGGAGTTGCAATTAGGTGCTCAAGATTTTCTGTGGCTTTACCTACAAGTCTTCATGTCACAGGATGAGGCAGCCTCATCCTGGAGCCAGCTCTTAACTTCCACATGAAAATTCAGAAACACTAGGGAAAGTTTTCCTTTAGAGAGGGTATTAGGAATCTCTTGTCTCTTGCAAAATCATGCATGGGAATGGTTTATTACTGAAACCCCCCCAGGGCAGTGTTCCAGCCATGGTCCTTTCTGATTCCATAGACTTCAACTGTTTTGGACCAGTAGTTTCATTATAACATAACATGGACAGCTCATAACTTTCTGCATTTCACTTTGAGGTTAACAGGTTTTTTTTGGTTTTTTTTTTTGAGTGTGATAATTCTGATTTACTTGATAACCTTAGGTGCAGCTGGGATTGTCAACAGCTGTCTGGATGAATACCCACATTTCAGCATATGGATAAAGTCCATAAATTTCTTTGAAGGTGCTTTTTAAAAAATAAATAAATAACATGGATGTTTTGCCTGAACCCCAAAAATATGATATGCTACATGTGAATAAAACATCAGAGCTCTTTCCAACAGCTCATTGTAATGTAAAATGCATGTTTTATCCTGAACTGTTTACACTTGCTCCTTTCCCTACTGTCTTGGGAAAGTTAGTAAGACAGAATGTCATGTCACATCTACATTTGCAATTAAATGTTCTCTTTCCCTGTATAGTATTGCAACCCTACAAACAAATCACATAAAACTAAACCCATTAATTTACTAAGTAATTTAGTTGCAACTGGCACTGCAAGCATCAGCCCATCTTACCCACTGTCCTTCAGTGTTGCCAATGCTTCTGTCTTCCTGCACTGCTCTTCATTTCCCCCAGCTGTGCCTTCTGTTTTGTGCAAATGTAAAAACATTTCCATGCAATATGCTGCTGCAAGATCCCCATTTTCCAAGTATATCCAATCCAACTCCTGTACAAGCATATATGGAAACACTGCTTACTTCAGAAAAATGTTTAAAGCTTTACTTGGCATTAAGTGTCTACAAAGGACTTTTGGATTTTATTTTTTGGAATGTGCTTACAGTTCAACTTGTGCTCAAACATTCTTGTGGAAGTGGAGCCCTCCATGGCCATATCCCAGGCCTCACAGGAAACCTCCTGAAGACAAGCCCAAAACATGGCACTTGTGAAGGGGAGAGCCATCGCAGACACAAAGAAAACACAGATGCTCGTGTGACAATTAGATGCACTGCATTGTTTCCCACCAAGGCACAGATGGCTGGGGTGTGAGAAAGACTAGACAAACATTCTCGGATTCCCAGAGAATGACCACAGCTCTGGGAATCAGAAAGTCACAGTGAAAAGTAAACTGACCTTAAAAACAGTTTTCTGCCAGAAGAAGGGAGAAGTCATGGCTTACCTCTGTGAGCTCAAAGTACGCCAATGACCAATTTAAACTATGTAGAAGAACAGTGATGCAAGGCCATGCCTGTTTTGGCAGTTCCTGATAATTCAAATTATTTAGGCAATGCTGAATATATGCATGAGAGAGCCAGCAGGATGAAATTTACCTTGTCAGTCCTCTGAAGACAAGATTTGGCAAAAAATGCTGCATATTTATAGTGGTGTTCAGTCAAATCTATATAATGAACATGCTTATTGTCTCTCCATAGTGTAGTGGGGTTGATAACCAGACCACAAGATAATTGAGAGGTGGATTAGATTCATAATAACCTTTCATATTAAAAAGGTGGACAGGTATGGACACATGGAAGTGAGACTGGAATGAGGTAATCTTTAAGGTTCCTTCATCCTGTGATTTTATTAAATTAGCTCATGATAAAAAGACACAACCTAGTGCCTGCAGGTAGCAAAGGCTGAAATGGTATTGAAAACCATAAGATGAAACACGTACAAAGATGCAAGATCTGAGTCCACCAAGGTTTGTTGAAGGGAAAAGGGCAGATCATATTGGTGAACAGGGTGGAGCTGACATGGCTGCAGAAAGGGTGGCTCTCCATCACCTACCTTCAGGGAGAAAGCACATCAGGGCCAGATTTAACAACCACAGAAATCACCAGAAATGCTGCCACTAATTTTCCATCCGTGGGGTGAAATATGAAAAATCCACCTACCAACCTGCCAGTGATGCCTTCAGCGAGTCACAGTGCTGGAGGTTAGGATTTTTCCTTTTTTTTTTTCTTCTTTGTCTCAGGGAATTTTCTCTCATTTGCCACTGCTTCTCCTTAGCATGAGTGAGTCTTCACTCACAGGAGAGGCCACTGAATTGGGACCTTTCCAACACCAGATCTCACTGGGAACCCCTCACCATCTGCTTGGGTGCCTCAGGAGAAAACCCGGGACCCTGACCCTCAACCCTGGCCAGGGGAAGCCTCTCCTGGCTGCTTGTGGGAGCCTGGCAACTGCTGCCCAGCCCTGCTGTTTTCTGCTGCTGCTTTGGGCTTTTTGCTACGCTTTATCCCAACATCCCATGTCCGCTCCACCCCCGCGGCTTCTGGCACGGCTTTGGAGTTTTTACTACACTTTGTTGGCCACCCTGGGCGTGCTCGCCTCTGCTGCTCTGAGGTTCCTGCTGCAGTCCCTTACAGACCCAGAGGGGCACTGAAACTGGCTGTTCCATGTGGGTTTGCAAAGGAAAGCCCCTTCTCTCCCCTCTCGCTCCCGCCGCCGGAGCCGCCATGGCCGTGTGGGGAGGCGGCCGAGCCGGCGGCACAGCGCCCCCTGCAGGCGCGGGGGAATCCTGGCAGCCGCCCTGCCCGGCCGGGAGCCACCAGCGCCCCTGCTGGCCGTGAGCGGAACTGCAGCGGAGGGGAGAGCGCCCGGCGGCCGCGAGAAGGCTGCGGGCGGGTTTGTGCTCCCGCTGCTGCTGGGCTGGGGATGGTTGTTTGCCTTGTGATATCTAGTCTAGTAGAGAATCATTGTTCCTTTTCCCCCTATCTTCATCCAAAAGCCCTGTAACTTCAAAGTTAAAATAATTTGGAGGGAAGTGGGGTCATATTTTCCATTCCAAGAGAAGTTTCCGTCTTCCTTGGCAGACGCCTTCCTTTCAAACCTAGACACAGAGGCAGCAAGAAACACTGCTGCCCCAACCAAAACCCAGACAAAGCTCCAAACTATGTAACAGACTCAAAATACAGACTAGAGGAGGTCCAAAGGCCATCTACTGATTCAAATAGATCATTCTTTGCCTCTGAAATGATTCCAAGCTTACCTGTTGCAGTGCTTCGATGTGTTACCTTCTCTTCTCTTCTCTTCTCTTCTCTTCTCTTCTCTTCTCTTCTCTTCTCTTCTCTTCTCTTCTCTTCTCTTCTCTTCTCTTCTCTTCTTCTCCCCATCTCTCCCCATGTATGGACAGGCAATACATGTCCAACAGGTCTACATGCACGTTCCTAAAGGCTTCTGACAACACAATTCTCACACTGTTGTAGTGGTAGGTGACAGGGAATTACCCTAAGCACGTGTCTTTATCCTTCTACAGTTTTCCTGTTTTCTCCAACTTCTATGTCCAGCTATGCATTTCCCTTCTTCCACCCCACCTCATCTCTATCTTGTCTCCTTCCCTGGAAGCACCGCCCCACTCCCTATTTTTGCTCCCAGCACAGGATAAACACAAAAGGTTGGATCTGCCACCTCTAACAGACCTGATTAAGGACCAACTTCCCCGTGGCACCTGCCTGAGCACAGGCCTCTCCGCAGAGCACAGGAAGTTTTGGCAGCCCCCCTTGCTGGAGACAGGGGCACTGTGGCAGAGGGTGGTGAGGCACGTCCCATCCAGCAGCTCATTACAGCAGTCTGGGCTCTGCTGCACAGAGACAGGGGCTGGGGCTGCCTGTGGTCCTGGGATTCACTGGCTGCTGAACCTGCTGGAGCAAGAGAAGCGTCCTGGGATGGGCCACAGCCAGTCTGTCACTGCTGAGGTCTAACACCCATAACTGCACCAGGTGCCTTGATGCTGCCATACAGAAAATCCAGGGCTGATCCAGATCTGCCTGCTTGCAGCTTCCCTCCCCTCCACGGAAGATTACTCACTGAGGCACAAGAGTGGGGCAAGACATGATCCATATACACCAGGTATATGACTCATATAACCATCTTTTATTTGTTTGGTTGGTTTTTTGTTTTGTTTTGTTTTGTTTGTTCTTGTTTTGTTTCTTTTTCTTTAAAAGCAACACCAGGTATTTTTCTACATTTTCAGACTCTGTACAGGTCTTAAAAGGAAATAATCAATGCTCAATGTACAAAGTAAAACCAGAAAACTAGAAAAATCTGAATAAAATGGAGCAAGTTGCTGTCAGGGATACAGTACAAATTAATAATTAGATGTCATCTGAAGTGCAATACCACCGCAGTAAGGATGAGTCAAGGAATGAAATAAAAATACTCTATTTTAAACAAACAGTATATATATATATATATATTTATATATATATATTTATATGTATATATTTTACAGATAGTAGACCCAGTGATATCTATAGAATTGTAAAAACATATTTACAAATGACTTTTTTTAAAACATTACATATACATCAGCACCATAGTAAGAAAGGAAAAAAAACCCAATCAACCCAAATCTAATAAAATCTGTTCTCTAGTACTTGATCCCAGTATGGAGTATTTGGAGGAAGCTTTACAAAGACAACAGAGACTCGTCTTGACACCATTTATCACCAAGGCCTGTGTCTCCCCAATGCACACCAGCTTGCATTGCCTGCTGTGTGGATGAACCAAAAACTTTGGCTGGTGCTCCTTTTCACTGAATTAGGGCCCAACCTGGCTCCTACTGAAGCAGCAGGCATGCTAATCATGCTCATCATCCTCAGCAGGAGCTGGAATTGGCCCTTGTGCTGTGTTTTAAAAAGGGGTCAGCTAAAAGAGATTAGATTAAAGCCATTTTTAAAAATGTAGCAGTCAGGGCAGGTTGGATTGATGGCTCACCTTTAGCACATTAAAAATGCAGCTTGTCCTGCTGCATCGCAGCATTTAGAACAGGTAATTCTCCCCACCAGGCAAGCCCACCAAGGGAAATTGCTCAAAAGGGAGCCTCATGGGGCACTGAGATGGTTCCAGACTCATTTGCTCTCCCCGTTTAATGTGATGTGTGTCTGTGCTCCACGGGGAAAGGCAGGACCAAGTGCCAAGGTCTTCAGCCTCCATGGAATTCAGGGGCTCAGCACTTAGCTTCACTGGGCCCAGGGAGGACAGCACAAAAGGAGGTGATCAGGAGCTGGGGAATTGGGACTGGCACTAGCACCCTGCTGCAGAGCATGACTCATGGCTCTCAGAGGCCAGCGCTAGGCCAGAGGGTGCTAAAGCTCTGGCCTGTGGGTCATGGTAACATTTTTATATGCACAACTATATAACCTGATAAGCAGCTCTCAGCTGAAAACACTAAAGAGGTAATAAGTTCCAGAAAACAGCCTCCAACTGCAGGGTTCCCAAATAACTTCCAGGTTTGGGAACGCTGCTGTACA